GTTTTTTTTTTTTTTTTATACAACTTACAGAAAAAACATAAAAAAGCTATTAATTAAGTACAAATAACAAATAATATAAGGCAATAAAAAAAGCAATTGTACGTCTCGTAATTCATGTTACAGTTGCTTTAGCTGGAAATTACTTTATCTAATCATCGGAGTGCAAAAGTATTTCTTACGGAATTATGTAAATACAGTCCGTGGCTGTGGTAGCTTTTTCTTAGATGGACATTACTTGAAATTTTTTTGCACGTTTTTTTCACTTAGAACTGGAAAATCAGAGGGAATGAGATTTTTTTTAGATGTCCATTTTTAGAAATTATTGACCGGCTATGAATTCACTTACGCATTTATTCTTCAAACATCATTGAATAAGTAAATACAAGTAGATATGCATAACTTATTGATCGCATACTTTCGTCGATTTCCTTTCATCGAGATATACAATGTTTTAGTTGCTTTTTTTTCAAAGATTATTTATGAATATAAAACTGTTGATGGGTACATAAGTATTATTTTTTATGTTTTTTATTTTAATGTATATTAATTTTATCAATGGTATAATTTTTTTTTTTTTTTTTTAAGCAAATAATTGCATACAAATTATATCGAAAAAAACCAAATAAAGTGAAAAAAAAATGGTTTGATGTGGCCAACACAAATAAAAAGTATAAAATGCAATGTAGTAAAGACATCACTAGTCTATCATTGAATATTTATTCAAGCGATCGATACTTTTTATACTTATCGTGTTTATAACAAATATAACGGGGCGATCAAGGGCATCGATGATTTTTAAACTAAACTATACATTTTTCACAAAAAAATACTCGAACAAAGATAATTGAATTTATAAAAAGATTAAGCACACAACAAATGAATGAAGAAAAATTCACACAGTGCGTGTGCCCCGAAAATTTAAAATCGCTTTTACACTGCCTATACACCGACAACTTGTTTAAGCAGTCCAGCGGAGCGTATTTTGCCTGGAAAAATCATACTCTCTTCTTCCCTCTATCCATTTTTTTTACATTCCCCTTCTTCTTTTTTTTCTACTTTCGACGTCATTACAAATTTTTCCCTCCAATGTTATCTTGATCTTTTTTTCTTATTTCTTCTTTTTCTCTTTCTCGACACAAGACTTTACGGTCCCTTTTTTATTTATTTTCTTAACGTTTACTTGTGTCGATGAAAAATATATGGCATGCAGTATTTTTATTAAATAAGTAGCAGAGAGGTAGGTGAAGTGTACTAACAGTTCGATATATTGTATCGATTTAACGTGACTTGACCGAAACGATGACGTTAATGATTTATTATGAAAACGACGAGTATATGCGCTTTTCAATAAAATGAACAACATATTTTAGAGATCAGGACCTGGGCTTGATATTTTTTAGTACCTTCCTGTTGTCAGCACTCGCAGGCCACTTCATTGAGATAAAAAAAAATTTAGAAAAAAAAAATTTGCTTCAACCATTTGATTTTTTAGAAATTTTGCATTATTTTTTATTTTGAAAAAAGCCCAGTACAATTTAATCTTACTTTGCTTTCGTATTATTTCTTTTAAAAGAAATTATCAAATAAGTTATTTAGTGTCACTACATTCTTCAAACTTTTA